AGTGACCGTTAGTACAAGTTTTAAATTTCAGTGACCGTTTTGTGATTTTGACGTAATTTCAGTGACCGTTTGTGAAATTAACCCAATAAAATTATCTCTCTTTATTAACAATATTTGTATTTGTTTACTCCTTTTATTGAGCTTACTCACAAATAACATATTAACAAAAACCAAGAAAATTACTTGTACATTCCTCAATAATTTTTGGCTAATAACCTAATAACCCAAATTAAAATGAGTTAATATTTAATTTGAAGCTCCAAAAATAAAAACTAATATAAAAAATCATTTTAAATTATTTTAAATTTTTATATAATGAACATAGCTTTTTAGTTGTAATATGACAAGAATTCCCATTTTCTACTTTACAATGTTGAAAAAAAAAATCCAAATGATTTTATCAATATTTTTGTTACTCCTCGTCTCCGAGGCTCAGAGAGACAATGCCACGTAGCAGGTCATGTAGGCAAAAAGTCAACAAGAAAGTCAAATAAAGATCCATGAGGTCAAAACACGTGCAAACAAGGTCGAAGTCCTCACACTGCAAGGGCGAATTCCATATTGAGGCACTACATCAAAGATGAAGCTGCCTAGTGAAATAAAGAAAAGAGTTGAGGCTCTCCACTTAAAGAACTACTTCGAAAATTCCTCCGAGTCTCTTAATTCGTTCAAAGCTCATAAGCTAATTTTGTTCCTTACAAAAAATTTGAAGATCTATCTGAAGTGATTGATATAACAGTTGTAATAAAAGTTTGTCAATATGTCAGGTTGACCCATTATCAACGTATTAATTGTATGAATAAACAGTGATGTGACGACCTAATTAGGAAGATGAGGCCACGTGATTCTAATCCAATGATCCCCACGTTGGCCAAAATAGTATAAATAGATTATATTTGTAACTTAAAAAGGGTTGAATTATTAATTGGAAAATAGACAATAACATATATTCCAAACGCATACTTGAACTTTGAAGAAAATTATACAAACACTTGTATTTATTTTTTATCTTTTTGGGTATAGTTGTAAATTTCTATACAGGACGTAGCAATTTCAACCTACATCATATCTATCTTTTCGCATATTCTCGCTTGTGATTACATAAATTAATTTAATTTCAACCGGACGATCATTGTTAGCGCGATTACTTTTGTTCCATCTGTCGAAACTCGAATGTTTTTGTCGATCGCCACAAAATACCTCCCGGGTCTATCCCCTCTTTGCTACCGCGGTTATTCCGGTAGAAACTCGCCGGAATCGTATTTGACTTGACGTGAGTGAACTCAACATCGGTGGTCTCATTTTCANCGTTAGTACAAGTTTTAAACTTCAGTGACCGTTTTGTGATTTTGACGTAACTTCAGTGACCGTTTATGAAATTAACCCAATAAAATTATCTCTCTTTATTAACAATATTTGTATTTGTTTACTCCTTTTATTGAGCTTACTCACAAATAAGAGATTAACAAAAACCAAGAAAATTACTTGTACATTCCTCAATAATTTTTGGCTAATAACCCAATTTAAAATGAGTTAATATTTAATTTGAAGCTCCAAAAATAAAAACTAATATAAAAAATCATTTTAAATTATTTTAAATTTTTATATAATGAACATAGCTTTTTAGTTGGAATATGACAAGAATTCCCATTTTCTACTTTACAATGTTGAAAAAAAAAATCCAAATGATTTTATCAATATTTTTGTTACTCCTCGTCTCCGAGGCTCAGGAGACAATGCCACGTAGCAGGTCATGTAGGAAAAAAGTCAACAAGAAAGTCAAATAAAGATCCATGAGGTCAAAACACGTAAAAGGCAAACAAGGTCGAAGTCCTCACACTGCAAGGGCGAATTCCATATTGAGGCACTACATCAAAGATGAAGCTGCCCAGTGAAATAAAGAAAAGAGTTGAGGCTCCCCACTTAAAGAACTACTTCGAAAATTCCTCCGAGTCTCTTAATTCGTTCAAAGCTCATAAGCTAATTTTGTTCCTTATAAAAAATTTGAAGATCTCTCTGAAGTGATTGATATAACACTTGTAATAAAAGTTTGTCAATATGTCAGATTGACCCATTATCAACGTATTAATTGTATGAATAAACAGTGATGTGACAACCCAATTAGGAAGATGAGGCCACATGATTCTGATTCAACAATCCCCACGTCGGCCAAAATAGTATAAATAGATTATCTTTGTAACTTGAAAGGGGTTGAATTATTAATTGGAAAATAGACAATAACATATATTCCAAACGCATACTTGAACTTTGAAGAAAAATATACAAACACTTGCATTTATTTTCCATCATTTTGGGTATGTTTATGAGTTGTAAATTTCTATACGGGACGTAGCAATTTCAACCTACATCATATCTATCTTTTCACATATTCTCGCTTGTGATTACATAAATTAATTTGATTTCAACCGGACGATCATTGTTAGCGCGATTGCTTTTGTTCCATCTGTTAAAACTCGAACATTTTTGTCTATCGTCACAAAGTACCTCCTGGGTCTATCCCCTCTTTGCTACCGTGGTTATTCCGGTAGAAACTCGCTGGAATCGTATTTGACTTGGCGTGAGTGAGCTCAACATCGGTGGTCTCATTTTCAGGGGTCAACATATAACATACATATACCTATATCGAATATCTCCAGCAGAAGGAAATGTTTTAACAGTTTGGTGGTCAAACTATTAATACATTAAAAAAATAAAAAATCAAAGTGTTCTACACAAATGCACAACAGACTAACTATACAAATTACTCAGGGCTTCACTTAAACGGTCTGTGAGCATCTACTGTCACTCACATCTACAAGGTCTATATAGACGACAAGCCGGCAGGGAGATCTTCATTTCCTTGAAAAGCCAAAGCAGATTCAATTCAATGAACATAAAAAGTTGCTGCATAAGCCCGGTGTTTTGCTCCCGCACAGAGAAAAGCCCTGTACTCGAAAGCATATAAGAAATGCTTTCAACAAATGTGAAGCGCATTTTCTAAGTCTCATTTTATCGTCATTGGCTAACTACATTAGTTGGTTGATCCTCGACGGTAGTTTCTGCAGGATCTTCATCAGCATTGTCTATATGTTCGTCCACATATGCTTGAGAGCTAACCACATGACCCATCAGGTCTTTGTGCTTTAGATTTCCTGGCAAATTCAAATGATCAAATTATATTGATGGGACTCCAATATAGGTGTTTCACTATATATAAAGATCAATAGTTCCATAGAGAGCATGATCTGGGGCCCATAAAGTGTTACGGCATAATTTATCAATGCTTACCTATCCAGAAAGTACATCCACTTGAAGTTGAGTAAAGAAGAGCCTTGACATGAAACAAAAAGCGTTCCATAGATCTCTTTGTCGCTGGAATTTTACTCGTGATAGCTGTTTGTTTTGAGCCCTGTCATAAAGCAATTTGTTATACGTAAGGGGAATGCCTGAATTTACCAGGTAAAGAAGTAAAGATGTTTCATAACAAGAATTGGAGTTGCAGAGCAAACCTTTGCTTCAGAACATAGCGTCTGTATAGTTCTTGTTGCTTTCTGAAGCTCTTTAACCTGAGACAACGTGCAAAGGAGGTAAATATTGGACCATAAAATCTCACGCCTGCTTTGTGTCAATCAACCTATTCAAATGTCTCACCAGTTGGATTATGAGTTCCCTGTGTGTTTGAAACTGGGCCTGTAGGAAATCAAAAACTGGAGAAAATATTAAATTTTAGCAACACAAGAAAATTGTAATTTACCTACAGCAAGTGCTTGAGCTTCCAGTGTGAAGAGCATTGACATTAGGAATGTGGCTATTTTGTTTATTGACTGCTGTTGAGGAATTTTACTTAACCAATGTGTGATACAAGCACATAGTACCCTCCCTGTAGCATGATCCAGGCTAGCAGGACCAACAGACAAAAGGAGACAAAGACATACAGATATAACTGGTGACAAATGTAAGGAAGTAGCAGAGAGTTGGCCTAACAAGTCTAAATCCCACCATGATACCACGTTAGCAAATGTCAGTTCCATCTGAAACTATTAGCACTAAGTATAGCAACCCATTTAGCATATCTATTGTTTTGAATTCTAATCAACCAGTGTGGGGGAAAATCAGGGACTATATCTTCACAGTAATAAATACCTTTGAGAAAGGAATCAATGAACTTTCCGCCATACTTGACTGCCATCGCATGCACGGTCACCTAACACACCATTCTTAAATGTCAACAGTCCATTTGCTTCAGACACTAAAGACATATCCGCAAAGAGTTTGAGAGAACCACCTTTTCGTTGGTCCTGCATATGCTAACTAGAGACACTACCACATTTACGGACTGCAGTAATTTGTTAAGGAGTCTTTCAACATTTTCCACTTCAATGCCAGCTCTTGGTTTCTTTAGAACAGCAATTTCCTTGACCTAAGCATGAAAATAAAATAACGAATAACTCTAAATTCCAGCCAAAATAAGCAATCAAGCTCATTCTTGATCTCTGATGGAAAACACAATGTGAACAGCAGGCTTACCAAATTGTTGAGTGTAGCGAGGTTCTCTTCATGCTGCATAATAAATCATCTTCTGTCAATAGATATGTTAAATAGTATGACTACTCAGACATAAAAGCAGTGGTAGTAGAGAGCTAACCATCACGCGGTACCAGATTACCAATGTCGAAGGGCATAGGGTAGGAAAATTCTGATTATCATCCTCTACTGCATTTCTGTCTGATGATACCTGACACAAAACAAAATGTCACCAAGTGCAGCATAGCCATTTGAATTTAATAATATCTTGAGAGTTCCACAGCTTATTAAAGAGGTTATAATAGAATGGAAATTGTTTTTGACACGTATCACAGAATCCCAAATAAAGTGAAAAATAAGAAGCGAGAATGGAAAATAATTAAAAACAATGACACACCTGAGATAGAACAGAGCTAACGAGCTCATTTATCAAATCAGAAGTTGACTGGAAATTTTCCAAGTAAATGCGAAGCACCCTCTGGACCATTTCCCCCTGCATCAATTAGGAAAGAATTACTACTTTTTTTTTAAGCCACACAAAATATTGTAAGAATGTAACCATTCGATTTTCAACAAAAATTCATATTCATATATGAAAGTATAAGAAAATAAACTCACTTTAGCTTTCAAATTATCATCAATATCGTCTCTATCACATTTATGCATCAAGAGTTTCTGAGCACAAGTCCCCAGTTTGTTTCTCAGAAAAGGAAGAAGTTCCTTTATAGCTCCTGTGTGAACCTTTCCATTCCCATTTAGAGATTTATCAAGAAACATTCGGATGGATGTAACCATCGACTCTAATGTCAGCACCACTTCTGAAGCCAGTACAAATGAGAAGGTAATTGCTGCCAAGAAAAAGATACTGTAGCAGTAGAATCTTACAATTTTTGCTTTTGGTTAGCATATCAAAACAAAGGTATTGATGAAATATAAACTAACATACCAACATCAAAGACCCCTTGTAGGAAAGCATAAGCACCAGAATACAGATAGTCTAAATTTCCTGGTGAAGGAATCAGGTGCATTCCATTAAAAAAACAATTCGATATTTCCTTTGGCTGGAAAGCCAGAAGAAGATCTGAGAGGATTGATTTATCATTTTGAATATCTGGCAGATTTAGCATCTGCACTTACAAAAGAAAGGGCAAAAGAAACAATGAGCCACACTTCAGAACTAAAGATTCTACCCAGAATGAAGAACACAGGGGATGGAAGACGTGATCTAAGAATTTCATTAAAAAAATGGACAATGTGGAAGGGAGGGTTACCTTGCCAAAGCTTCGAAGTATCTCTTTGAAAACTGAAATAGAAGCTAAAGCCGGTGATATAGAAATAACAATGTTGGTCATTTCTGGAATCGCAGCCAGGTTAGACTGAGTTTTCCAGTGATCTTGACAAGTTTCCGGACCTGCAGTTTTTTCTGTTAGATATAGACAAATAGGAAGTACTAGTTGTGCAGCTTACCCAACAAACTGTGTTCAAGTACCTTTAGTAAGAATGTGTACCGCACGATCAAGATGCCTTCTAAGAGATGGAAACAGAGGCCGAATCTTGCTTAAGAATTCGGGTACTTCCATTCCTATGAATCCATCTGGAACATCTGAACGTTCTATATTTTGTTTCCTTGGAGGAGTTGAGAACCCCAGCTTTTTGTGAAGATCACGCAGAAGATACAGATGAAGGGGTAACTAGTACAAACGCAAGAACAATAAGCAAAATACTCGCAGGCACTATATATAAAGAAAAACATCTTCTCCTACTTATTAAAGCCAATTAAAAACACAAAAGTAATGATTTCCCATCATTCTCATGACATCGAAAACCAATGCCTTATATTCATTTTGTCCAAAGCTTACATTGCCAAATTTAAGTTCAAACATTCACACTTTTTTGGTAAAACTCCTGGCAATTGGAATAATAAGATACCATGAATTTTTACTTCTTTATCCTTTTCTTATTTTTCATTGTTATGTTATCAATCTCTTCGTCACTTTTACTATTTAGGTCGTGTTCGGTAGAGATTAAAATCGGATTAAAATTGAAAAACTGGTCGTTATTATTGACTTTTATTAGACGAGTGGGACCCAATAAAGGCTAATATTTTCAATTTTAATTGGATTTTAAATTTAGCCAAACATGCTCTTAATCCGACAGATTTTCAAGTATACGCATTAGTTTGGGCTACACATAACTTGCATATGATAAGAAAACTGTCGATCAAATGAACTTTGTTCTCGAATGATAAGAAAATTAAATGAACCATGCTCTCTCAACAAAATTGCTTTTTCATTTCTAAAATAAAGTTAGTTAATGACAGAAGAAAACTTGAGCATTTATGAATCGATGAAAGCTTCATCCTTGCTCCTTTCTGGGGGCACAAGTCCATTATGATATGCAGGTATCAAGTGTCAATGTTGATAGTTAGTGCATGTAGACAGATTTTCATTATACAGAAGGTAGTTCTCCAGCATATATATCAACTGTGACTACAAAACAAAACGAGCTTATTTAACTTTAGTTAAGACACAACAAACAGTAGAAAGAGAGTACCTCCGCGGCAGAATCTACACAACAAGAACCTTGATTATCCTGCATATAAAAGACATTTGAATTACTACCACAATCCAGGCTTCCTGCTTGAATATCTTTAGTTAACCGAAGGTTCAACCCACGCTTTGACAAGAATAATGCATTAAATTTTGACCACCATCCATGTGCTGAATTTGTTTCATCATGATATATTAAAATACAAAATCACAAAATTCGTAAGAACTTAAAAGGCTGCTAAAGAACATCACTTGAACTAAACAAGAATAAAATTGTTGAACTCAATATCAAAAGAAGGTTAAAAGAAAAGGAATTGAAGGAAAAGGTTTTGGACCAACCAACCAGGTGTTGTTATTGCTGTATTAAGTAATCACAGGGTTGTAAATAGGGCTGTCAATGGATTGAATTTTGATCCGAATCCGACGAAATTAATGGGAGATGGATTTAGGATCTCAGTCCGATAACCCGATCAAGATCCGAATCCGATAATCCGTTAACTAAATGAATCAAATATGGATATAGGTCAATCTAATCCGATAACAATCCAATTCGATTTATTATAAATAATTGAGTCGGTAAATATTTTTATAGCATATTATTTGTAAAATAAATAAATGAGAAAATAAATAAATTTAGAATAAAAAAGTAATCAAATTCAAAATAT